TGTTTCTCATGTATACACCTGAACAATGTTACAAATGCAAACAAAAACTATCATATGACTAAATAATGTTTACTTAATAATATATACTTATATATTATTGAATTATATAAAAAAAATTAGCTTTAAATAACCTTGTTACATTTAACCAATTCTTAAATTTCCATAATTCATTTTATTTCTTATTTTATATAATATATATATATATATATATATATATATATATATATATTAATTGTTTATACATTATTTTTATAGATACAAATATTTAAGTAAATGCTTCATTTATAATAAACAATACTAAGAACCTTTACTGGCCTGAATGTCTGAGAAATTTCATAGAAAACATGTGTCTTCTGATAGGAATCAAACCTGTATCCTACATGGAACTATCATATAGCTTGACGTCCTATACTATTTAGCTACAGAGAAAGCGTTTGATTAGCAAGGTCAAATTACTGCTTTTAAACTACAAATTTTCCATGATTTCTTCCGGATGCTCATATCTACTCAAAGCCTATCTTAACAAATGACATCATATATTATGAAATGGACTAAGTCTGACAATTATTTTAATATATCTATTGTTTATATGTTATAAACAGAGCATTTACTTAAATATTTGTATCTATAAAAATGTGTGTGTGTGTGTGTATTTTCAAATATAATCTCTAGAGAGGACAGTATGAATAGAAAAAAAAGACATGAAATTAAATATAGTTTTGCTCATGTCTTTTTTCTTCTATTCATATATATATATATATATATATATATATATATATATATATATATATATAATTGCATATCATTGCCCCAGTTTTTATTTAAAAACTATATAAGGATGACAAATTTCTTTTGGAATTGTCGAGATACATCAGCAATTTTCAAGCATTAATGTTTAGAGAATTAAAATTTATTTCCTCCCAGATATTATTTAAACAACAGAACATTTACTAACTCATAAAAGAGACTATTTATTTATTCTCTATCAGTTTGAATTTTGTCATCTTTAATCCTTTAATCTTGCAAATATATAAGATGGATGCTGAACCCAGATTTTATCATCTCACCTACCAGATTTATTAATAGATTTTGCTGATGTTGAGGCTTTTGAACCATTTTAACTGTCTTACCAAAGCAAGTTATTTTGCAATAAAAGAATCTTATTTGTGCACAAAAATTTGTTATATCTGAAATTTCTCCCAAATCTGCTCAGTCCAACAAGACAGTATGACATTGATAGAAAAGAAACATCAATCAAGACAATTGTAGTTAAAAAAAAAATCATAATGATAATTCTTAACCATATTCATGTTTGTAACAGTAGTCATATGATGAACATTGATGAATATTTGACAGAACATCCCAAAATTTTAACTGTTCCATGTAATACATGAATTGATTTATAATAAAATATAATTTGTATATCTATAAAAATCTTTTTAAACTCATATTTGTGTATAAATTAGTTTCCATTTCACTCATTTTAACTATTTTGAAGCTCAATGAAGTCATTTGCATTAATTATGCCAATTATAAACTTTACAACATTATACATACTGTTTTTTTTTCATTATAATATATTTCCTTTTAGTTTAGATTCAGTCATTATAAAATAGTCATACTAGCAAATGATAAGAGATGAATACAAATACAACTTTAAAATAATCTGGTTTTGTATTCAAAACTCAGGTGAGTTGCGAGAAAAAGACTATCAAGACAATCTGATTGCATTCAAAATGTCTCCTGGGACAAGATGGCTGTTCTAGATATTGAAATGAAACATAAAATTAAAGCTTATATTTTTCTTACATTTTACAATTTCACATAACAATCAATTATAAATGTATAATAAATAAAATAATGAGCTTCATGTCATAATCTGGCATCATTGTCTGTGGTCATAAAAGCTGAGAATCCTTTCTTTTTCAGGTTAAAGAAACTCCTATTATATACCTTTTCTTGGTAGAATAAACAATTTTAAATTAAAGAGTCAGAACCAAGCATGACATTTAATAAAACATAATTGAGAAATTAAATTTCTTTGGTAACACATTTGAAAATAGTGTATCTATCTTAGCCATCTTTTTATTCCTAAAGAAACTAAAAAAACATTAATATTTAATTAACAAATAAGAAAATGCAATTAATTTTATTAATATTTCAATATATTGCAAGAGTGACAGGAATAAAAATTAGAATATTAACAAAATTATTTCTACTCATCTTTGTTTAGCAAATAAAAATTAAAGTACATTTTTCATAATTATTTGTGTGCTACTTTCAGTCCAGTTTTAACCACAGAATAGGTAAATCTTATGAACATTAAAATTTTGATAATTAAATATTTGTAATGATTTATTAAGCTGCAAGATAGATGAAAATAATATGCATTCCAAAATGCTTGTAAAATTAAGCAGGAATGAAGACAAAATAAAGTCAATGATGCTTCTGTACTCTGTAAACTTGCAGTCTTCCTTGTTCCCATTTTCTACAAAAATGGATATCACTCTAACTTCTATCAGTCTAATTTCTTTGTGGGGAAAGAAAATGAATTCTCTCTCTCTCTCTCTCTTTCTCTCTCTCTTCAATAATTTTACTTCACTATTTCCATGCAAAAAATGTTATGATTCTGACAAATGGTTACATCATCAGCAAAAATTGTTATTTTTCTTACAAGAATCTTCAAAGCATGTGGCATATTTTTTTCTCTCTTTCTTGCTTGATATAACATTTACAACACCAGAGAAATGGCTTCTTTATATATATATATATATATATATATATATATATATATATATATATATATATATATATATATATATATATATATGGCTAGAATGATATTTGCATGCTATAGCCAGGAATGAAGGATTTTTTCATTTTAAAGATCTGTCTACTTTCTAACCAACACATTTTTTCTTTTTAAAACTATATTGATATTGATTTGTAGCATAAATGGTTCATTTATTTGATTTGATTTGATATTCACTTCCAAGATGCTTGGTAAGTGCATTCAGCATGGTTTCCAGAATAACTCCAGTTTATCATTTGGTGGGATAGTAAGATTGTAGCATTTTCCATTGTAGGGAAGAAGTTGCCAAAATTTGGTGCTTTGAATTCCAGCTAAGGCATGAGAATTAAATAATAGGTGAAGAAAAAAGTTAAAGGCTGAAGAAAATCATCATTCTTCATTGGTCTGTCTCTCAGTGGTTTGAGCAAAGGACTCAAGTCTAAGAGAACAATTTTCATTTCACATTTATTTAAATCTAGCTTTTTCCTTAAGCAGTCTTTATAAATAATTAAACATTCAAAATATTCTTTAAACATTAATGTCTCCTTGATTTGTTGCAATGAGAATATTGTTATTTAGGTAAATGAAGCAAAAATGCTACAACCTTATTAACTGAATGATTGCAATATTTTTCAAGGTAATGTTTCTTTGAAATTGGCATTATTTGTTCAAAAGATTTTTGGAATAAGTTTTCATTGTGAATTTGATATCTCTGTGTATTGATCTTTGCTTTTGTTCACCTTTTAACTCCTGTTCGAGACATGAAAAATTAAACTCAAATATTTCAATATCCTTTTAACGTTTAACTTGGTAACTTAAAAAACTTCTTTTAATACTAATGTTTTCTTTTGTTTTTGATGTTTATAAGTTTTCAATCTCTAATATAAACAACAATGTGTGTGTGTGTGTGTGTGTGCATGCATGTGCTTGCAATTTTGTTCTTTTCTTGGGGACAACTGGACTAGTTTCAACCATATTTAATGCTTACACATTTTCAAGTTTCTTAAATAAGCAACAATGATAACAGATATATTTTAACCATAAACCCATGAAGAACAATATCAGTAATTAAGTGATTAGATCAACAGTATTATTCTCTTCCTCACATCATGTACTGATTTGTGAGTTTTGTCTTTCATGAGTTTATGATTTTGAATTTACTGGTGCCATTCAAAGCTGATTCTTATTCCTGTGATCTAGTTTTTTAAAAAGTCTTTATTTGGAAAACTTGATCATTGTGTAGTATTTAAAATTTTTGGATGAAACTATTACAGCTCTCTCTTTAAAAAACAAAACATGTAAATCTCTGAACACACATACAGTTAAATATGATTTAATTTTTAAATATACCAATATAAATATGAAAATGTTTAAAAAAATTTTTTTTTTATTTTTTTAAATACAATTTAAAATTATTTAAAAGTACATATTTTTAAAACATTTTTGACAGTGATTATTATATAGATTTTTTTTGAATGACAATTTGTAAAAAGAAATATATTTTTTATGACATTGGTAAGTTAAAAAAAATGGTTATTTTATAAAAAATTCTTTAAATGCTGCTTTTCAGAGCCTCTACTTGATATTATTACCTCTTTATGGAATTTATACTATAATTATTTCCAGATGTGAATTATTATGAAGCTTAATTGTTATTGTTAATTATTATTAATATATCATCACTTTTATATGATTATGGCTAATGGAGATGAGGCTAAGGGTTTCCTCGGTTTATTCTTATTTTCTTGAGAAAAATCAAGGAAATGACTATAATTAGTATTTAATAGGCCTGGGGTTATTTACCTTGGACCTTTTTAGTGTGTGTTTTAGAAGGATTTATTAAACTTAACTAAAAATTATTTGTAAGCTGTTAGCCCATTTAACTGAAAATTGTTTAATTCTCCTGTTAGAGCATTTTAACAGTATCATACTAACAAATATTGGCTCTAAAATATGCCATATTTACTATGTTGGGATAGCAAACACAAATATTTGGATCATTAAACTACAGTTAAAAAAAATCATTTTTTTTTTCAAGTAGCAATGTCATAAAACAATTCTGGACAAATAATTGTGTTTCTTTATGTAATAATTATTTTTAATTTCTATTTCCAAAATGGAAACATTTTCTGATCTTATTTCTTAATAAAAGTCAATTCAAATACAATTATTTCATATTCATTGATAGTTTTTATTGTTTCTTTTTCAGATGAATGAGATGAAGTAAGTTGCTGACTTGGGCAAATACAATGGAACAGACCGTTTTTGTTTTTTTTTGTTTTTTTTGTTTTTTCTTTTCATATTTTTTCTTCTTTCTTTTTCTCTTTATATATGTATGTATGTGTGTATGTATGTGTATATGCATGTCCTTCACTATTTTCTTTTCCCTTTCCTTCTCTTTATGTGCATATATATCTTTCTTTCTTACTCTATTTTTCCCAATTTATTTTTATTTGCTCACTTTTTTCTCTTTTCTTTTTAGTGTCTGCTCAGAAAACTGACCCAGAGATTCCCTTATATAGTTAATCTGATACCTTGGTCTGAACTTACAAATGTTTCTTTATTCTTTTTCCTTTTTCTTCTTCTTCTTCCTTTGTCAATCTTGTTACCACACTCACCCACTCCCACCAGCCCTGTGTTACGAAGAACAAATGTTCACCTCAAACTTAACACACTGACCATTCACTGCTGCAGTCAACCAGTCTTGCTTTCTTTCTTCACTTTTGGTCAGTTTTGGTGTTCACAGATGCCCAAGACCAAGGCCTCCCCCGTCCCTCACCATCTCAAGGCCCCATCCCACCCTGACCAAAGTAGCATATGCACATTGTCAGATGCTTGAATAATGATAAGACTTAGGCAACACTGATAAACAGAAAAGAAAGCTGGGCCGGGAGGGGGGATTTGTCTGGGATAGTCAATTGACTCTTCCTGAAATGATGGATATCCTCCTTTTTTATTATTCCTATTTTTGATATTTATTCCCCAAACTTGCCCTTTCTTTCATTTATATTGTATACCGTATTTTTCAGAATATAAGACACACCCTTATTTTGATGATGAAGCTTTGGAAAAGAAGCTACAGTCAAGTTTGAAAGATTTTTATTAATCTAGACTTCAATGTTATCCTTTAAAAAATGAGTATCTATTGTTCTAAACAAAGAAAGAGCTCAAACATCAAAATAAGGCAATACCATAAATCACTTTGCATAATTAATTATACTTATTTTGAATTTAGCTGCATATGACTGTCTCTTTTATTTACACATCATAAGGAGTGAAAAATAGAATGAAAACTAAAGAAAGAAACTATTTTGTTTCATGGGCCAAAGATATGGGACTTAGGTTTTCAGTGCTGACTCCAACTTGACAGTAAGCACATACCAGAGTTTCAAGTATCCAATTAAAATTAAAATACTGATTAGACAATTCTTCTTTGTGTTCCCTGTTCCTTCAGAACATAGGCGATCATGGCTCTCCACAATCTCCTGTCCTTTGTAGCTCTTAATAAATTTTGTCTTTTTGTTATTTCTCCTACAATCCTGTTCTGTCATCCATTTACTCAAGTTCACTAAGATAGACGTTTACTGATGCCAATTGCATTAAGCATTCTGATTGGTCAAGTGCATTACCATTTGAAATCCATATTATTGTTATAACACATTCAAATGAATTAGGCTATGCATACCTATTTAAATATATTTATAAATACCTTGTGTATATAACATATATTATTCATACTTTCAGCATGTAGGATGCAAGGAGATTTTAACATTAAATTTTGTGGTAAAAAGTGCATCTTATACACTGAAAAATACGGTAATAATTAATGCTTACTGGATTATTTACTTCACTGCTACTGCTATGTATTTTTGTAGTCTAAGAGTGTGTAACTCAAATGTAAACTAGTTGGTGTTCCAAGAATTTCTTTTTTCTAGATTATATTGAGAATAATGATGATAACTAGTGATGCAAGAATCACTATGTAGCTTCTGCTTCTTGTGTTGTTTTTGACTTACAAGTCTCATTCTTTACCTCTATTGGTGATATTTAAATGGATATGTTTTTGTTTATTGCATATTTTAATCAACAATTTATTTTCCTGCTTATAGTTTTTGCTTTTATCGATTAGAAATTTCCAAATCATTTGGCCAAACTCAATTCTGTCCTGACTTAACCTTTTTAATTTATGATTTTCAGTCTGCTTGACATCTAACAAATATTTATAGCATTACAATGTTCTCTGAAAGAGTAAATATTCATTCTCCTGTGAATTATGGAGGCACGACCTCTTTCACTTTTTTACCTCTATACTTTTCTTTCTTTAAAAGCATTTCTTATTCAATCAGATAGTTTGCTTATATAGACACAACCTTGACCTTGTCATAAAAGAAACACTAAAAGAAATTAGTCTTCCTTGATGACATGCATTGAATTTTCCATTATTAATTTCTTTATTTTCCCACACTAATATAAATACATGTAAAGAATTCAATTTTGGAAAAGTACAAGAGGTAAAGAAGAAAGTGGTGCAGTTTTAGTCTCTATAATTAGAAAGCCTTGTTAATTAGTTAGCATTTGAATTGCTAAAGTAAACTTATTACTGAATTGAAATTAATATTAAAAAGCTTTTTAAATATCTTTAATAATTTATCTTCATGCTTTATCTACATATATTCATTATTTACTACAATATGGTATATTTGTGAGTATGTGTGTCAGAGAGAGAGAGAGAGAGAGAGAGAAAGAGATGATTGTCATGTACATAAGTAGACATTATTTTCTGCTTTTGCAGCTATAATAGCAATTTTTGTTTTTTGTTTAGAATGCAATAGGAGTTTGTGAGTTCAATCCTACTTACCATTAGTCTAGTCTTAATTTTCTGCAGCAATCTTAAAATTTAATCTATCTTAAAATTAAAAAAAATAAAAATAAAAAAAAAGTGGCAAAACGTTTGCAGTTACTCCAAATAGAGAAATGCCTCAATTATCAAGAGAGATCTGATCCCCCCCCCTCTAGAAGTTTAAATTACAAACTATAATGTCCTTCACTCTTATTTTTCTGGGTGAACGCATGGATTTCTGTTTTGTCAGTGTAGCCGTCCATTGTTGGTGAAATTGGGTAAAATCATGACCTCTCCATGTAAAGCGAATGTGTCTGTCACTTGTGCTTCTTTGTGTCACGTGGTCTGCAGCTGGCTTCTTGTCACCCCTAGCAACTACAACGTAGCAGGTGTGAAGACATAAAAAAAAAAAAGTTTAAAAACTAAGGGAGATAACTCTCGGAATGATTCAGATTTGTTCACCTTGAAACCCAATAAATGACCAGTAAATAGATTTTAAGCTCAAGCATTGTGTGTGTGTGTGTTTTTTTTAAAGCAGCAATGAGCCAGTCTTATCTTTGATGATAAGAAATGAAGAGAAAATAAAAAAACAATTTTTAAATTAAAAGATTGTGCAAATAAAGTTTCAAATTTTGTCCGAATGCTCGTTTTATTACTAATTTTGAGTTGCTTTTCTCTATACAATTGCTTTGTTTGTTTGTCCTTACTATTGATATTATATTATCATTAATTATTTCAAATTTTTATTTTCCCTTTTGTTGTGAATTGCTAATTTTTGTTTATCAGTTATTTTTAGACAATTTTATTTCCTTTTATTTCTTCACACAATAGACATTTTATTGTATTTGTTTTGTTATTTTTATTTGAAATTAGACCAGTTCAGTGTTGTGAATGTAATTTGAACTTTAGCATTTTTTATACCAATTTTAAATTTAAAATTATTTTATTTGTCCAAAATGGATAATTTCTTTTTCAATGTTACTGTAGAAAAGATTTGATAATATGAATTAAAAAAAAAGAATTCACATCAGTATTACTTCTTATTTGCTCTTAAATATTTAATATCTATATAAGTATTTTTTATGTATTTCCATAGCAAAAGCAAATTAGTGCTTATCATATCTCAGAAATTAGTTTGAGATATGAAAATATATCATTTTAATTGTTCATATATAATTCTTTGTACATAAGCAGTCTAGATGATAACTTGTATATTTAAGGTTCAACATTAAATTTTTGTGTATTTTCTTTACTGTTATTTCTTTATAATATGTTGATAAGAAGAAAGGAATGCCAGCCTGTGGTCATTTCATTAGAAATAATATTCGTTTTAATTGTCATGGTAAAACATTCACTGAATATTTAGTGATTTAGATTAAGTAACAGAAGTATTTAGTCACAATTTGATTTTATTAAACTAATCACTTATTTGCAAAATATAAGAAAAAAAATGCCAAAAGAAAAAAAAAGTAAGCAGGTATGGGAGAATTGAACCTTAGACAGAAACATATAAACTACAATAAAATCACTTCAGTGATAATTTTGTCCTTGCATCATGTGACACATCATAATGGGATTTAAGACAGTTCCCTCTGATTGGGATAGTCTTGTGGTGGGTTTAAAAAAATATCAGTGGATACTTTAACATTTTTTCCAACTGATGAGTTATGGTGCATTTCAATAAAATCAAGTTGACAATAATTTAAGCCCAAGTAGATTTTTATTTCATTAGAGTTTGATACAGTTATTGAATAGTCAATAATTGTATAGAGGGGAATTATAGAATGAAACATATGTCAGGTTAGTGAGTTCAAATTTTACTGCTGTCTTTCTCTCTTCACTTTGGATATATAGCAGACATCCCAATTTATCTAAACATGTTCTGAGAAAATTATTTATACTTTCGTGATTTCTTGTTCTAAGTGTCCCAATTTTTATGAAGAGGAAAAACAAATATAGATCGGAATCCAACATAATGTGAAGATGAAGAATAAATAGGAAACATTTATCAATCTAACATGTTTCACTTTTATTAAAGCTTCATCAGAGAATGAGATATGGAGAAAAAGAAGAAAGAAATTCTGGTATTTTTACTTTTGTGTTCTTTGATTTTCAAATTATACTAATGTTGGTTTAAAAGAGCTGAATGTATGCAAAACCTGATTGACCAATGAAAATCAAACAGCACAAAAACAAAAATACCAGAATTCCTTTCTACTATTTCTCCATAACTCATTCTCTGATGAAGCATTAATAAAAGTGAAACATGTTAGATTGATAAATGTTTCCTATTTGTTCTTTATTTTATCATATATATATATATATATATATATATATATATATATATTTTTTGCCTAAACAATCAACATACTTCTGATATATTGATGATGCCCTATTAATATATCCCTGTGATACTGATTTACTTGTTCTTTTAGATAAACTAAAAAAAGTTGAACACACAATAGAATTTACATGTGAAATAAAAGAAAACAATACTTTCCTAGATATGGTACACTGCATTGAGAGCAACTTAAAACTTAGTATCCACTGAAAATTAACTAATAAAAATGATCTAATAAATTTCTATTCCCATCATAACAACAAAATAAAATCTGGAATAATCATCGGATTCTACTTAAAAGCACACAGAATTTGCAGTCTATATAACACCAACCAATGTTGAGTAATGTATATGATAATATGAGGCCATATTTTAAATCTATAGTAAAAATTTTAAATTCTTTCTTCTTCCATATTATTTCGACCAGTATCTTTATTTCTTGTTTCTTCTTTCAACTTTGATTTTCCTCAGAAGTGTGATACTTTTTTTTTTAATTATCTCCATTTCACAGCTTCGCATTTCAGTTTTTATCAGCCTAATATTGCCCCCCCTGGTGTAGATGATAATCATCTCAATAATATACATTTATTTATAAATACACTTAAGCAAGAAAGGAACTATTCCCTCTTTGTCGCCTGCTTAAGTATTATTTATTATA